CCATGTCGTCAGGTTATCCAGGAGCAGAGAATATGCTGGAAATAAGATGACTGGAAAAAAAATATCTTCAGTTTCTGAACCCTATCACTGCAATTACTGATGGCAGCATCAAACCGAAGAGCAAACGGTGTCATTCTGTTCACCACGTGCGTGACTCAGTGACCTTTACTGGGATAATTCTGTTACGTAACATAAATATTTGCTCTAGATGTGGAATGTAATGTTCAAGTGGTCCGACGCTTGGGCATCTTTGGAGCTAAGTGAACTGCAGCATTCAAAGAAGCTGCCAAAGAGAAAGAAGGAAAGAGAGAAATAAGCCTGAAAGAAAAGCAGTGAGCCAGAGTCAAATGGAAAAGAAACACTTTATAAAGAGTCACACTCCACACTCCTCTCCATTTTAATGCAGCATTAGGTGCGACATGTACCTCGAGATGTCGCAAGTGGCTCCGAAAATGACCTCAAATTTTCCTCGTGTCTTAGAGAGAGCAGTCCAATGTGCAAACTGCAGACGTGTGCAAGAGTATGAAAATTTAAAATGAAAAGCTGCATAGATGAGTCTCACCTCCTGGGGTGCTTTTTTTTTTTTTAGATTTTCCAACTAGCAGAGACCTGTTGGCTACAGTGGAGAAGCTGCACCGAGGCTCAGTGTTAACAATCGACACAAATGAAACTTGGGAGCAGCGGGGCTTGCAGGAGAGTTCACTTTGCTTTATTTGAGTTTCTTCATTTGGGCAAAGACGGAGCCGGAGAAGCAGACAATTACTGATATTTGCTGCCAGCTATCAGAGAGCGAAGGCGAGACGTGTACAGAGGCGGTGGCTCCATCTCCACATTGTTAATTAGAAACTCTCCCTCAGCGCTGTGCTCACTGAATAAAAGAAGTCACAGTCTCACCGAGCACGCACACACACGAGGCAGAAACTTCATTTTTATCAAGCGGTAAAACAGCTGGCGATGCCAGAGGACTGTTATACATTGGATTTTGCACCGTTGAGGAGATTGAGCAATATATGATCATTACATACAGTCATTGAATGGGCTGAGGGTTTATACAGGGGGTGGGGGGGGGGGGGTCTAAAGACAGAACGCAACAAGAAGCAAAGCAATGAGGAGAAATAAGAGGGAAACTGATTTCATGCTCGAAGGATTGCATCTCATTTTCTCCGAGCACTAAGGCTCAGTGTGTGGTCTTCTTCGAGCTGCTACTGCCACCTGGTGGTGGGGAACTGCAATGCAGGCCTGACATTACATCCGAGGAAAACAACTTGTCACTTTTGTTTTTAGTTAAATATATATATATATGCTAACGCAAATTAAAAACGGTTTTGAGGTATTTCCTGTTCCAAAATGTTTTTTCATCAAAACTTGTACCTTTATGCTCTTTACTTTGCTTCTAAAAGCATTTTATTTTGGGTTCTAGCACAAAAAAGTAAAGAGAATGAACGGTATTTGTAAAACTATCTCTTTTTAATGCAGATATTTGTTTTGACTTGGACTATTGGTATTAAGAACATGGACGAAAATGGTGACACAAAAACACATTGAGAAGAAAGAAAAAAAAATCACTTGAAGGCAGCATTACTTTTAAAGATGTTTTGATAATTATTCAGAGACTCGCTCAGTCACTGCTGGAGACAGACACCCAGAAAAGAGAAGAGAGTAAAGTAAATGAATAGAAGTCAGCAAGTGGCCACATGTTTTCCATCTGGACATTAACAACAATCTGATCAACTACTGGGGACTTTATATACAAGAGGCTAACGTTGTTGAACCTTTATGGTTATTTTTACTGGGGGCATGTACAGGAGGAGCCGTGCTTTAGGTGTTCAAGAATTCAGTTTGTGTTGTGAAAATTGATCCTGGATCTAAATGTGTCGGGCAAACCTCCTGAACTGTGAGTTTGACTTGAATGGATTTGTCTTCAGTGCACACCAGACCTGGAGGCTCGGTCATTAAGACAGAGCAGTTTGTGACTTTTATTTACTGCTGATGCTGTTTTCAGATGAAGTGAGGAAAAAAAAGAATATTACAAGCTCAAAAACAATACTGTGAACTCAGGCTATAACAAAGTTAGGTAAATAAACTTGAACGACTGCATAGTCTGCTAAAATGCAGTTTTCATGTTTAGAGCTGAATGATGAAACTTGTTGAACAAGCTGAAACTAAACCGTCAAGTCAAAGAAAGCAGAACAGAACAAAAGTCAGCAAAACCATAACTAAAAGCAACAAACATCAAAAATCATAGCTAGAAGCCAAAAATCAGGCAAACATAAGCCAAAAGCAAAAATTATCGTATAGTAGCTAACAGTTAAAATAAGCAAAACCATAGAACAACTACGCTAAATCAGAACTTAAAGAGAAACTTTATCAAGTTTGAAGAGATCTATAGATATTACAGTGGAAAAGTTATTTAATCAAGTTAAACATTTTGTTATAAGTTATATAAAATAAAAAAAGTCATAGAACACTATTTTAGATTGAGATAAACATTTGATATTTAAATGGTTCATATAGAAAACTATGTAAAAACATACAGAAGAAGATAATTGGAAATTAGTGTGAGTGTTGAATCAGCATCCACACAAAGAAAATACAGGTGCATCTAAAAAATAAGAATATTGTGAAAAAGTTTTTTTTTTTTTTTGTCAGTTACTTCAGAAAGTGAAACTCATAGACCTGTATTTTCATTTTCATGTACCCTTTATTTATACAGGTAGTCTCATTGAATCACGAGAACTCATTTTCAGGAGAGACCTGTTTTGGGAGCAGATGGTGGAGGTTGAGGGCCTTGCTCAGGGGCCCAGAGTGGGGCCAATATATATAATATATAACATAGAGTAAACATTTCAAGCCTTTATTTCTTGTAATTTAGATGATTATGTCTTACAACTAATGAAAAACCAAAATTCAGTGATTCAGAAAATTAGAATATTGTGAAGAGGTTCAATAGTGTAACTTCCAAGGTGTCTCACCCTGATCAGCTGATGAACTCATGGACATGAGCTATAAATGTCTCATTCCTCAAGTCCAGACACTCCTGAACCAGAGAAACATCATAAGCGTCTTACCTGCTGAGGAGACAAAGAACTGGACTGTCTCTCAGTGGTCCAATGTCCTCTTTTCAGGTGAAAGTAAATTTTCATGTCATTTATAAATCAAAGTCTCAGAGTCTGGAGGAAGAGTGGAGAGAAACAGAATCCATGTTGTTAATGTCCAGAGTGACGTTTCCACAGTCAGTGATGGTTTGGATTCATGTCCTCTGCTGGTGCTGGTACACTGTGTTTTCTGAACTCCAGTCCATGCAGCATCTACCAGGACATTTTAGAGACTTCATGCTTCCTTCTAGATGAGCTTTATGGAGATGCTGGTTTCATTTTCCAGCAGGACTCGACTCCTGCCTGCACTGACAAAGGTACCAACAGCTGGCTGTGGAATAGTCTCATTTTGAGACACTGATTTTTGTTTATTCATTATTAGTAAGCTATAATCATCAACATTACAAGAAATAAAGGCTTGGAATATTTTTGCTTTATGTATATAATAAATAAATGTAATATATGAGTTACACTTTCTGAAATGATTTATTTTGTTTTACTTTTTCATGATATTCTATATTTTTAGATGCACCTGTTGAAATATGTTTGTCATCTGAAGGCAGCCACGTTCAGTCTTTGATGTCCCTGCATCTAATACGTTTCTACAATTTTTTTTTTCTGTAAGAAACCCCCAAGATGACAGCCTGAGTTCTTGAACTCTTGTTTACAGCCACGTGCAGCAGCCTGTCAGTATTCTAACTGTTTGCATTCAGTCAGATTGCTGTCACCCACAGGAAGAACAAGAAGGTAGCTCAAAATATCCTGACGCATGCTCAATAATTCAGGTAGAAAAATCTAAAAAAAAGTTAAATCTGGTCCTCTGGACATTCAAAAAACAAAACAAAGCAAAAAATAAAAATGTAGAAACGTTCACATGATCAAGAAGGACCATCAGCCCAACGATGGATCATTAGCACTGCATTAGCATTAGGCTGATGGTCCTTCTTGAGCATGTGATCAGCTGGTTTTGGTTGTCAGCAGAAAAACTGGTTGATCCACTCTGAGAAGGTGCTATTTAAGAGACTGCGCTGAACACAGCACCTCAGACTGAGGAAGTCTCTTGGATGAAAGACGAAACGTTTCTACATTTTTTTTTTGTTTTGCTGTTTTGTTTTTTGAATGTCCAGAGGACCAGATTTAACATTTTTTAGATACAAGAAGGTAGAGTCACGAAGGCTCCTTCTCACTAATTAACACATCAAAACTGAGTTCACCAAGACACAGCTGGAAAATATATCACATGAAACTCAACAGGTTAAAAAAATAAATAAATTTAAAAAATAAAGATAATAGATGAACATGATGAAGCTGTAAACCAGGTCAGACATCAGAAAGGTCAGGATGATTAGCAGCTCTGCTAACAGCCTCCATCGCCTCATTAGTCTGGTCCAACATCACTAAGCCCCTACCATTAAAAGCTCAATGAAAGACCACCCGCTGTGATTATTGAGGGGAAGTCCCCTGTCGTCATGGCGATGAGAGCTCCCCCTACAATTCTCATTAAGTCACACTCAGACTTCTGTGATATCTTTTGAACAGACGTTTATGAAGAGGCGACTGAGGCTGAAACATGTTACCCATCAACAGCCACAGATACTCGCTCAGCAGCAGGAACATAAAAAGTTTGAGACTAAAAAAGAAGCCTCACAAAGAATGAGCAAACCAGCTGTCTCTGAATCAAAGATGCAATCCTCACTGTTGGAGAGACTCACACTCAAAGTTCTACCCAGCGTAGGAGCACGTGTCGGTTTATAAGATTCAGAATAGAAATATGTGCTTCCATAATGTACACTGCACAGCATGTGCAGGCCACGTGATGCAAGAACAGATTTTTTTGCCCCGTGTTTATCACTAAACATGAGCCATAATCACAGATGTGCAAAGCCAAAGGTCAGCTGTACTCACGGTCGTTGCAGTGGGTCCCTGAGTATGATGTCATGGAGCAGTCGCAGGTGAAATTCTCCCACTGCTGGATGCACACGCCCATGTTCGAGCACGAGTCCTCCTGGCAGGTGGTACTCGGGCCTAGGGAGAGACAGAATACAGCAAAACGAGGAGATAGGGCAGGCGTGCAGTCAGACAAGAGTAAATGAGACCGCTGAGCGTATAAAGAGGGACCCATGCAGAAGAAATGCACTCTGTGGGCCTAGAAGGAGCAAACAGTGTCACCACAGGAGGCCGGACCTGGAGTACCACAGGGATGCCAGCTGAAGCTGCAGCAGCATGGGCAAATCAAAGCAGAGGTGACAGGTTTCCACAAGACCTCCAGCATGCTTTTCAACCAGTAAGAGTTAAAGCACATATTTGGATTTAAATATTGTAAAAGAGAGCAGGGCATTCTATTTATTTATTTTTCCCACGGGGAACATTTTGATTTGGTTAAAAGGAATGGAAGAACTAAAGAGTGGACATAAGACTACCTGAGTCTAAACATTATACAGCTGATAGAAGATATGTAATTAGAACATATTAACATTTGTTAAATAATTTTAGACCTTTTTTTGTTGTTTTAATTTCTCCTTTTTGATGAGAACAAGCCTGTAGCACAGTTAGCACATAAAATTCAGCAATAGCCTAATAAACACACTGCTTGTGAACTAACAGAGTTTTGACATCAATGTTTAGTGAAACAAAACTTTTTATTTTATTTTTTTAATATACTATTTTAATCTATTGGAATACTGGTAAAGTCAAAAGGAGACTGTGATTAGCTATCACATGATGACCTATGTTGTAAACTGGTAAATAATGAAACTTCTGTTTTTGAAATTCTTAAAAAAAAACAATTTCTTTCAATAAAATATTTCAAACTGTTGTGTTTTTGTTTGATAACATTTTAAGTATAAGTGCTATTTGTTGTCATCACCATATGTTCCCATACAATGACGAAATTAGTTCTTTGCATTTAACTCATCACACGTCAGATACACCCAGGTGGAGCAGTGGGCAGTTATGTAAGTGCCAGGGAGCAATTAGGGATTGGGTGTCTTGCTCAGAGATGCCACAGAATGACTGGAAGTTGAACCGCAACTTTCTGGTCCCAAGTCGGCTGCAGTGGTGTAGTCTACATTTTTGTAGTGGGGATATTGTCCTTAAAAACCAAAGTACACCAGTTACTACCATGTAAGTGTTAATTTATTTTTGATTTTTAAGTGTAGTGAACATTTAAACATTTCTCTGATGCTTATATTTGAATAAATGTACAACAAACTTTGTACAACAGTTGGCTTTCTATTAAAAACATTATAGAATTTATAAAACAGTATCAATGCAAAACATGTTCACGTATTAAGTAGTAAGTACAGAAGTATTAATTACTCAAAAACAGATTGAACCAACTCAATGTGTCTATAAAATGTTCCAAATGTGTTGACAATGACATTGGGCACTTTAAGTGGGTATACTGAAATTCCCACACTTTTCTAGTGGGTATACTCTGTATGTCTACGTATCACGCAGACTACACCACTGGCCAGCTGTCCTACCTCTACCCCATATCAGCCTCCATTGAGGGCCATATTACAGTCATAAGGCCACTCCTGGCCCTTGGTTCCTATTTTGCCCATGTGTGATATAAACCTTGCTTTAAATAAATAATCTGGTGATTTGTGATGTGATGTTCTGTCCAACAATATTCTATTGTTAGAACATTTTCAGCTGTGACGTCAGTTTGCCTCGTTGGCAAATCAGGTCAGTCCAGAAGTTTACTGAACTCCTGGCAGACTGTATCAGGAAATCTACTTTTAGTAGGAACTCATATGTTCTATTAAGAAGACACAAACAAACTAAAAGAAAACAGCATGAAGTTTAAGCACATTTCATGCAAGGTTCTATCAAATCTGTATGGCATTTTAAAAGCCTAAAAAAACAACTTAACAAGGGCCTAAGCCTAGCCTAGCCTTAAAGGACACTTCTGCCCTCTTCTTCCTACTCCATGTTCTGGGACTCATAGCATTGGTTTAGAAATCACCAGACTATACCTTCAAGGGCCCTTGTTTAAGTGTTTGCAGAAAAGTAAATGGACATTTAAAACATGAGTGATGCATGGGACTCCAGTTTGGCTGATGTGATGACACTGTCCCTCACGTTTCACTTCGTTTGTGTGCAAGTGGACTTGCATGCAATCTTTCATCATTCCGACGTGTTTCGAGAAAGTTTTAGCACGGTAAAACTTAAGACGCTGCATTCCCTCTGTGAACAAGCAAGGCAAGACGTACAAGAATAACCTAACAGACAGGTCACGAAGAAAATCTTGATTTTCAACATTGAGAACTTACAAACGAAATCCTGGAAATTGTGTTTAAACATTTGTGTGAGAATACTCGATGAACACTAAGTATAGTAGACAGACAGAAATCATGAGGAGGAACGAGACCAAGAGCACTTGAAAACACTAAGTGCATATCTCTGAGTATGCACAGAAGTCCAGAAGTGTATTCAAAGTCAAACTGGATGTGTGTTTGCTCCTCTTCACACCACACATAGTCCTTACTTTTGAATACTTCTAGTGAGAGGGAATGCAGAAAAAGACAAGCGCCCTGCATAGATAAGATGAACAAATCTCCTATTCAGAGTCTAGATGGACAGAGGAGGAAAAAAAAGTTCAACAATACTCTTTCAGACAGTCATATACAATAAGAAACCGAATAAAACAAAGAAAAAGTCCAGTAAACTGTACAAATACATAGCAGACAAATGCAAGTACACGTTTAGGAGCAATTGTCTTGTGCAGGACAATGTGAAGAGAAGAAGACAATTGAAGTGGAAACAGAGCAAGTTCGCCAGCTGAAAGTGCATTTACTGTGTAATGTACAGTAAGGTGGTTGACCAGACATCCTAAACTCATTCTTATCAATACAAGTGGAAAGAGTGCACAAGCACACTGGCTCTCTGTTAGAGGGAGCAGCAACGGTGGATTTCACTGCATCCCAGTGTTTCAGCAGGAGGTTTGCTCTCTGAGGAAAATCTTACAGTACCTAACGAGGGGTTTTCAATAAAAGTAGAATGATTCTGAAGTTACTGCCCAAAAATACAACATGCATTAACTTTCTTCATTGAAGTCCAATAGGATTATGGTTTTTTTGGGGGTTTTTTTTTAACTGTTTAGGCTGGCCAAATGCTTTTGACATTTTGAAATATAAACTATACTTATTGTTAGCATCACTCAGCCCTCTGTGAATAGCAAGCAGCTATCAAGGCACTAACGATCAATTGTTAGGCTGATGGTCCTCCTTTCATCATGTGAACAGCTAGTTCTGGTTGTCACCAGTCAACTGGTTGATCCACTATGAGAAAGTGCTGTTTATAAGACTGAGTTTATTGCAGCTCCTCAGACTTAAGAAGTCTTTTGGATAAAAGACAAAATGTTTTAACAAGAAGAATCTGTCCAGAGGACCTGACTTTTTTGGGGGTTTGTTTTTAGATATAACCTATATAGGTAACAACTAAAATAAAAAAAAGAAATGTTAAAGCTGCTGCCAGTGGTTGAAAAGGATCTACAAGGTAACCTCATCATTAATTCTCTCTGCAACTCTGCAAAACCTAAGTTATATTGACATAAATGCCCTAATCTTGCTAGCAAAAGTATTTGCTGGTCGCATTTGTAAATTTGTTCATCTTTATAAAAATGGTTGTTATGGCGGCTCACAGAAGTGCAACAGCTTCTCATGCTCCCGGGATTAAGCCTTATTTTAATTCCTATGAGGCTGTTATACGCACTAGCTCAGTGATAAATTCACAAGTCAAGTACAGCTCAAGCAAACTGATGGCCATCAGAGACAGTTCAGTTATTAATATATCACCGAGGCTGAAATCTGCACTCGGCAGACAGCAGCTCTTGAGGAGAACGGAATGGCGCAGCAAAGTGCGAGGAGCAATGGACAAGAGGAAATGATTGGCCAGGAAACAGAAGGGGGAAAGCAGGGGGGCACGTTGGCCACCGATTCCTACTCTCTGGCCAATGTCTGCTCACTGGATAATGAAAGGGTCTTGTTACATCCGAGGATGAGTGTTTCTACAGAGATGAAGAACAGTGCTGTTCTTTGCCTAACGTAAACCTGGCTTAACAACAACATGTCAGACTCAGCTTTCCAGATCAACTGTCTTCAGTTATTCCAAGTGGACCGTGACCATCGGTCAGGTAAAACACGGGGGGAGGACTCTATGTTCGTGACTGAAGATAGGTGTACGAACTGTGGACTGGTAAAAAAGCTACTACTATGAGGCGATAGAACATATGACTGTGAAATGTCAACTGTACTATCTGCCACGGGAGTTTACTGCAGTGTTCATCACCATCGTTTACATCTCGTCGGGTGCTAATGCTAACGGAGCATCAAAGGAGCTGTATGACACCATTAGCTCACTGCAGATAAAGCACATGGAGGCATTTTACGTGGTTGTGGGGAACTTTAACCACGTGAAACTGACAGACAATCTGCCCAGTTTTTACCAGCATGTCACCTTTCCTATGCGGGGAGACAACACTCTGTATACTGTATGTACACTAACATTTGCTGTGCATACAGAGCTCTTCCTTGCCCCCATCTTTGCCTCGCTGACCACATCTCAATCCTGTTGGTGCCAACATATCGTCCACTGATGAGATGGTTTAGGCCAACTAAGAAGACAGTCACTGTGTGGCCCAGGGATGTAGACTCTGTGTTCCAGGACTGTTTTTAGTTCACAGATTGGCAGGTCTTCAGAGAGGCAGCTACATATGAGGGAGAGGTGGACCTGGAGGAATACACCTCCTCTGTTGTTGGCTTCAACTTCAAGTGTGATGATGGTGTCATCAACACCAGGACAGTAACCTGTTATCCAAATCAGAAACCCTGTCTGAATGCTGAGGTGAAAGCTCTGCTGAAATCTAGGGATGATGTGTTCAGGACAAGTGAGGCATCAGCATTCCAAGAGGTGAGGAAAAGACTGACTGCAGGCATTGCAAGGGCCAAAGCAACAAACGCACAGAAAATTCAGGGTGACTTCATCACCAACGACCCTCGGCGTATGTGGAAGTGTATTAAGTGTATTACAAACTACAACATCATGGATGCACAATGTCCAAGGGACCCCTCATTGCCAGATGCACTCAATAAGCTCTATGTTCACTTTGAGGACCCTAACACCACCCCCACCACCAGACTTGTACCACCACCCGGTGACACGCCACTCTGTGCGACCACAGCAGATGTGAGCAAGACCCTCCAGGGAATCAACCCCTGTAAGGCTGAAGGCCCCGACAACATCCCAGGGTGGGTACTAAAGAAATGCGCACACCAGCTGTCTGAGGTGATGGCAGATATCTTCAACACCTCACTGTCAATGGCATTTGTCCACACCTGTTTTAAGTATGCCACTATTGTCCCTGTACCCAAGTGCTCCACAGTGATGTGCCTAAATGACTACCGACCTATAGCCTTAACATCAGTAGTCATGAAGTGCTTCGAGAGGTTGGTCATGACCCACATCAAGGACTCCATCGATGTCACTGTGGACCCACATCAGTACGCCTAAAGAAGGAACCACTCCACTGCTGACACCATTTCATTGGTGGTCCACACAGCCCTCACCCACCTGGAGAGCAGAAATTCTTACATCCGTCTACTCTTTCTGGATTTCTCCTCGGGCTTCAACATCATCACCCCATAGACCCTGGTGCAGAAGCTCTCCTTTCTTGGACTGAGTCCCACACTGGGGAACTGGATTCTGGACTTCCTGACTAGCAGACCTCAGACTGTCAGGATCCACAACATCGTCTCCTCCTCCATCCCCCTCAACATTGGCTCACCCCAGGGCTGCGTTCTAACCCCTCTCCTGTTCGCTCTGCTGACATGACTGCTCGGCTAGACACCCCAGCTGCCATATAGTGAAGTTTGCGGACAACACAGCAGTAGTGGGACGCATCAAGAACAATGATGAGTCCAAATACAAAGAGGAGGTGGAACACCTGGTGCAGAGACAATAATCTCTGCATCAATGTGAAGAAGACCAAGGAGATGGTGGTGGATTTCAGAAGGGACAAGGATCCTCTTCATCCCCTACACATCAGAGGAGCAGCTGTGGATATGGTCTCCTGCTACAGGCATCTGGGGGTGCATATATCCAGTGACCTCACCTGGACAGCCAACACTTCCTTTTTGGTCAAGACAACCCACCAGCATCTCTACTTCCTCAGAAAGATGCGGAGAGCTGGTCTTGGGAGCTCTGCCCTGAGAAGCTTCTATTGTTGTGTGGTAGAGAGCGTTCTCTGCACCTACATCACCGTGTGGCACGGCAGCTGCACTGCTGCTGAGAGGATGGCTCTGCAGAGGGTGGTTAAGGCTGCACAGAAAAATGTGGGGAGCAGTCTTACCACCACCTCAGACCTCTTCACTTCACGATGCAGGGGGAGGGCGCTCTGCATCATGACGGACTCCACTCATCCTGCACACAGTCTGTTCCAGCACCTGGGGATCGAACCTGGGACTTTCGGGTACCGAGTACGCTGCCTGCCTCTACCCCATCTCGGCCACCGTACGAGGTACTAATACCACAAGTCATTGCACACTATTCCCAATTCCCAGGTTTGCTTTAATGACTTAAAAGGGTTGGCTAAAGCTGTCGAGGAGTTGCTAAATGTGTGAAACCAAAAACTACAGGGCAAAAATAATTAACACTGCTTATGCATTAGCATCCTTAAAACAAAATTATAGTTTTAGAGAAAGAGCAGCTTGATAGCTTGATACAGCAGCAACACAACAGTGTTTAAATGTTCAGCGACAGCCACGCTGACATTTTCACCCTGGAGCACCTAACTCCCACAAATTGTCTACCTCTGCTTTTGTGCAACAGCTTCAGACTCAATGATGGCTACATCACTCAACTGAGCACATTTGTTTACAGTTTTTAATTACAGTCTCTAAGCTGTGAATGTTGGATGCAGTCCAAAGAAGAGATTTCATGCCTAGCTTGATGGTTCACAAGGACACACAGGGACTAAAACAAAAACCAGCTTCAAGAAGATTTTAGCTCAAAACTTGACTTTCATGGCTATAATTACACTGAATCACTATGATGTTTAAACTTTAGTCCAAAAATATTTTTTGTTCTAGTTTAAATAGTTTTTCCCAACAGAGAGCAAGTCTCCGCTGCAGCAGCTGGGAGACGGTTCTTGCCATGGTGACACCCACGATGCATTGCACACAGCAACCTTTCAGGCGAGCTGGCCTTTGAGAGGCGGAGTTTAACCGTCTACCTTGCAGGTCGGCTTTGGTGAAACCAACTGTATTGGCGTAGAAAAGAAAATAAAGGACAGAGCAGAGCAGGAAACAAGAGCAAAGGGTTAGTGAGGCACCAGCATCGTTACTGTTCTCAAACCTCAAGAGCAAAACATCATCAACAAAGGGAACCTTGGAAGATTGGACATGACCTCCTTAACTGTGTTCATGAATATGTATGCTTCTTGTATTATCACCTTCAAATAAGCTCCTTGAATAAAAACACCTCAAGGAAGCCACCATATCTGCTGGGCTTGTTGTAAGACTTTACTTCCCAGAAGTTGTGTGAGGAAAAAAGACAACCCCGTACAAGAGGCACCACTCAAGTCCCTGGTAAAAGTCATCACTCATGGAAAATGTTCTTTCAATTGTTTCATTTTGTATTAAAAAAATCCTCTAGACATGACACAAAACTATGCATTTTTTTTAAATTCCAATCCTCAAAAAAAAAAATAGGAAAACAGTTGTAGTCAGTCTAAACAGCTTATTTTTTAGATCAAGTAGAAGATTTTTAGGGTTGAGATATGTGACAGGCAGTGGCATTGTCAATATATGAGTTTCTTTGGGGGGGATTTCACATTCTTCATCCTATGACAACATGTATTCATCCATCCATCCATCCATTATCTTTACCCGCTTATTCCATTTTGGGTCACGGGGATCGCTGGTGCCCATGTCCAGCAATCACTGTGCGAGGGGCGGGGTACACCCTGGACAGGTCACAAGTCCATCACAGGGACACATAGAGACAAATGAGACAAACAACCATTCACTCTCTCACTCACACCTAGGGACAATTTAGAGTTACCAATCAGCCTAACATGCATGTTTTTGGTCTGTGGGAGGAAACTGGAGCACCCGGAGAAAACCCACGCATGCACGGAGAGAACATGCAAACTCCACCCAGAAAGGCCCCTGGACCGGGGTTTGAACCAAGGACCTGCTCGCTGAGAGGCAGCAGCTCTACCAGTTGTGCCACCGTGCTGCCGACAACATGCATTATCATCTTGAAATATCAAGTCATCACCACCAAACATCCTTTCAATGATGGAGTAAAAAAAAAAAAGTTGAACATTTCAATGTAGACGGTGCTTATTTAGAATGTAATGACTGCTGTCACCCCTTGTTTTTACCAGACATGAAGGCCCAGATCAACAATAACTCTGGAAGTTTAATGATGGCTTTGGCTTTTAATGCTTATCCCTTTGATTTCTTAGAGTTTGTCTCCACTTTCCTCTGACTTCCAACAAAATGTCAGGTCCTCTGGACGTTTATTTATTTATTTTTTTGTGTGTTGAAACGTTTCATTTTTCATCCAAAAGACTTCATCAGTCTGAGGAGTCACACCAAACTCAGTCCCATACTCAGTCCCGGGACTCAGTCCCGTACTCAGTAGTACGCTCACATAGTGGACCAACCAGTTTGATGTTTTGAACCACTTTGGCCATGGCTGCCTCAGAGGAGTCGACAGAGGAGAAGGCGGGCTCCAGAAACCATCTTAGCATCATCAAACTGGTTGGCCCACTATGTGAGTGTGCTGCTTGTGGGACTGAGTTTATTGTGGCTCCTCGGACTGATGAAGTCTTTTGGATGAAAGACAAAACGTTTCAACACAAAGAAACAGTGCGGAGGATCTGATTTAACTTTGTTGGACTTTTTACTTGGATCATTGAGCATGACCTTTGATGATTCCTCTGAATTGTTTCTCATCTGTTCTATTGTGCATTTAAGTTTTCTATCTTGAAGCTTTGACATCTTCTTTGGTTTACCAGCATTCCCTTTTTATAACCTTCCCATTTGGTTTGGTCTTGGGCAAGATTTTAGACACAGATGACCGAGGACAACATATCTTTTGCAGCAATTCATAATGATTTATCTTCTTGGATAAAATTCATAATCCTCTCCTTTGTTCTGACTGATATCTTTAGTGTTGAAGCCATGTTTCATGTCAGTCTGCGTTGTCCATCAGCTCTCCAAGGTGTGAGCACTATCTTTAACTAAAGATTAATATCAGATTTAGTCGGATGCAGGTATTTGTTTAAAAACAAGATTCTAAATTGTTCCATATTTTTAATACATTTAATCTAAAAAAATTAAATATGATCAAGTACAGAAAGTTGTAATTTTGAAAAATTATAGATTTGTGGTATGTCAGTGATTTAATCATTTTTTAATAAACAATTGAAAGAACATCCTTTAGGAGTGGTGAGTCTATACACTTTTCTCCAGGGGTAGTAGTATCAAATACTTTTTTGCTATTTATTTATTATTTTTTTGTGGGAACCAGTAAAAGAAGAAAATATATTAAAAAGAATAAGAGTTAAAAAAAGGTTTCAGGGAAGAAGATTCTTATTTTAACAAAAGAAGCAGTAAGTCAAACAACATTCACTCAGATTGCACTAATATGAAAAAATCTTAAACTGGTTAAAGAGGCAGGCTGTTGATTAAATTAAATCATCTGTAAAAGTCTTGAAAGGTTTAATATCTGTAAAATGGAAACAAATGCATGTATGTTCCCTTTTTTCATCATTTGGACAAACATAGTTTTATCCATGATTATGCAGCTTTGACAACATTTTACAGATCCAGAATGACATATTTGAAAAATCATCCAATAATGTGGTAAATACCTGACAAAGAGGAGGGGGGGAAAGAGGATTAATGGTGCCACTGAATGTCTGTGAGGGCTACTCCGGAAAATTCTAATTATCCTGATAAATCTTGCACAGCAAGTCATAATTCCTAGATGCTATAGGCCGTTTGTACCTTCGCAGCCACGCTCTATCTGCCCGCTGCGAAAAAGGGCGTTGTTGATGAGGTCTGGCAGGCGGCCGTTGAGATCCACAGAGGCCAAGCAGCCCTGGAAGCCCTCCCGAGAAACCACCAGCTTGGGGAGGTTCTGATACATGTTGGGTCCCAAACCACCGATGAACAGGTCACCTGATGGGACGCAAAAAAAGAAAATCAGGTAAGGTGCATTTTATAGAGTAGGATATAAGCTTTCCACTGAACTTCACTTCAAATAATTTTCCTTTTACAATAAGAACAAAGTTCATTAGAATAAAATCGTCAAGATAGGTTTAATTTCTATAAACTGAAGTACCTTTAAGGTCAAGGTTTTTGGCTCCATTGACATTCTGAGTGACTGACTTGGAGTCCACCTTGAGGGTGTGTGTGTTTGCAGCGTCTCGTGTGATGACCACATTGTGCCACTGGTTATCATTCAGTGGGTTGTCGCTATTCCCTTTCAACAGACTGGGTCCATTCCCGAGGTCAAACACGTAGTGGACAAACCTGGTGAACAGATCAGGACTGGGATCAGCAGTCTCACCGATACTGTTGAATTCAGAAAACATCTAAACCCATATCAGCACGGCTAATTTAAATGACATTTCCATTAAAAATAAATATGTTCATCTGCATCTGAGTCATGCTCACCCTTTGACCAGCTCCACTGCGATGAAGTCATTCCCATCTCCACTGTTGAAGATGATGAAACCATCAGGAGAGGTGGTTTTGAACTGAAAGAACAGGTGCATTGTGGTATAAGCCTGCAGAGTGGCCAGTCCAAGGTAGCTGCCCTTAGTCTTGAAGGTGACGGGGTCGGCGACAATGAATCGCATGCCAAAGCGTGCGTTGAGTTCACAGAAGTCGATGTCCCCATTCTTGCACATGTCGATGTATTGCATACCGTTAAACTTGAGGCTCTAAGGAGAGATTAACGAAAGAAAAGATGCAAAGTTAACTCATGTACATTACTTATTATTTTTAGTTGAGATGGGGACTACTTTACCATCACTAGGTTTAATCTTATAGGAGTGCCACAAGGATCAGTTCTGAGACCAGTGCTTTTCAGCTTGTTCAATAATGATTTTCTGATAATGTGTGGAGTCATTAAAATGATTATTATTACTTTACAGTAATTTTCTCATAGGAAAAATGCAGAACAAATAGCTGTGAAGTTGTCATAAAGTAAAGTTTGAGGTTGGCTTCAATGTTCACACTTCAAATAGAAAGCTTGGAAAACCATAACCATGTGTAGTAAAAAAAGGAATATCCAAAAGATTTTTTTTTTCCAAATGATCGTGCCAAAGGTAAAATAGGTGAAGAAAGTTAAACACTGAAAGTAATATCAGTACACCAGTACGCTGAAGTCTCCCATTTCTGACTGATTTAAATAATGGAAGTTTGTAGTTTTCGAGAGTAGTTTTTTTTTTTTTTCTGTTAACTGAAACTGAACAGAGAATGGAAGTAAACCTTAATGTTTATTGGTGCAACATATTAAAGTGGGTAGAAGTTACATTTTATAGAAGAAGAGAGGTAGGTTTTTTTTGTCCCTTGTCTGAGGCAGTACAGTGACAGATCCTGGTAACTGGAGGGAGCAGTTTTATCCACCACCAAATGCAATGAAGGAGCCAAGGGGTGGCCAATGGTAGTCTTGGCCAAAATGGGACAGTATTAACTATACTTTTAAGCAATATTAAAACTAGAAAGCATAGTTTCCTCAAATGGTCAGGATGGCCAGTTTACATACATGTATGGTAGTGGCCATCTTGGATTTTGATATGACAAACAATTGAACAGAGACCTTTTCTTACATCAAGATTCAGCCACACACCAAAACGCATGGCTCAATAACCAAAATGACCTTGCTTATTGTTTTTGTTTTTTTCCAAGTTATCCATTTCACAAGACAGACGGACGGAAGGCATTTCAAAATCCACTCTTTGCTCCATGACGGGGGACAAGAAACTGGTTTAAAAACCCATTAAAAATTTGTTAAGAGAATAACATTTTAGATAGCAACTTTCCAACTGATTGGAAAAACGATCTACTTAGGAAGCATTGATGACGTGTCTGAATGCAGTGTTTGGGTCTTAGACAACTCTAAAACCAGTCAAAAAACTTCATAAGCCTAAAACTCCTGTACTCGTATGTCAGCCTTATCTTTTAAATCCTTAACCTCATCTAACCTTATCCTAACTTTATCAGTGGGGCAGCTGTAGCTGGGTTTGGGCAGCTGTGGCTGAATGAATAAAACAGTTGTCCTCAAATGGGAGAATTGAGGGTTTGATTCAACCAGGAGTCACATGCTGAAGTGTCCCTGGGTAAGACACTGAAACCTCATTGCCTCTGATCTGTGTCCCATTGATGTATGAATGTGAAACATTGATTAGTCTCTATTGAATGATTTGTTTGATTAGCTGTAGTGATCTAGTAGAGTGATGTATGAATGTCTGTGTGTAGGAGTGCACATATTGTGTTATAAAGCACTTTGAGTATCTTGATTAGATAGAAAGGTGTTATACAGTACAAGTACATTCCATTTACCATTTCTAAATGTTTCAAATATGTCACCTAATAAAGATATTTGTGCAACCCTGATAAGAACAGATGACATGCTCTCCCTGCTCAATGCTTGAGGTGAGTGTAAAATCCCTAAAGGTTCAGTTTTCTGTTAACCTGAATTATTATTAGGCTCAGAATAAAATGTACGTCCTATTTGACATATGTTTTTCTGTTTGGATGTGATACAGTTTTTCATCAATTTTCAAGGAGACTAAAAATGACTTTAAAAGGTAATTAGAGTTGATACTAATGATGGACTGATACTTATTACCTTGTTGAAATACTTTTTATTTACACTTTCAAACTACTTCACTTATAAATCAGAAAAATTCAAGTTAAAATATTTTTCTTTAACTTTTTTTGCTTGATGGTTTTTAGTTGTTTAAATTTTGTATTTATAAATTGTGGCTGTAATTACCATATTTTCGCAGTACACACCACTCTGCCCTATAAGTTGAATCAGTCCAAATATGTCTAATAAGGTGGAAAAATCCATAAATATGTTGCTTTGCTGTATATGTCACATCTATTATGCGTCACTGCTGACACGTCGCGTTTGTTACGCGTCACTGCTGACAACCCGGAAATATTGGCCGGTGTTGTGCTAAAAATCAAATGGCTGCCAAATGGCAGCTGCGGGAGCATGCACAGGAGAACTTTAACAAGCATTTAACAAGATTAACACTTAAAAATGATTATTTGTTTGCTCAAAATTATATTAAAGGTGTGTCTCAGTCTAACTTTTGCTTAATTAATGCACTTTGACGGTCAAATCAGCTTCATGTCACCGGGGCGGTGCAGCAAAATTAAGCTGGTTTGATGGTTGCTCCAAGCAGCGAGCAGAACAAAGGTGGCATGTATGGCAAGCCGATTGTGTCATTAATGGCTGGTGAAGATTATCAAGTCATCCAGGACATGACAAATTCAAATAAGTCCAAGACAAAAACAATAAAGTATAATGTAAAGTATAATAAATAAAGTCCAGTTGTTTTTGTCTTTAACTTTTTTGAATTTGTCATTATATCCACTTTTACCTATTACATGATACAATGGCATGCCTGACTACTCGAGTGCCATCTAGCGGCTGAGAAATGGTAGTGTTCAATTTTTTTCAGTCAGAATGAATGAAAACGGTCCTAACTCAGCCAAAATTTGGTTTATAAATATGGGGGAAATCCATAAATACGTTGCTTCGGCCTATAAGTCGCAGGGCATAAAAATTATGCAAAAAATGTGACTTATAGGCCGGAAAATACGGTAGTGTTAGTTTTTTGCTTGCAATGTGTTTGCCTGCCATGGAGACTGAGTAGAAGTTAGTCGGAGGCTAAACATGTTTTGTTGTTCAGGGATTAATGCAAATTGTTCCCAAATGATGAACCTAAACTGAGCTCAATAGTCATCGGCAATAACGTGTTTCAGTTAATACCTGAAGGTGACCGATAAAGGGCGAGGGTGTTGAAGAAACGAAGCGTTTCTCGGTCAAGATGCCTGTTTCCATGTTGCTAAACTCCAGGCGGGTATGGTCACCTGCCATCTGACCTGCAAATGAAGACAAATGAAGCAAAGGTAGGAGTGAGATGTGGTTGTGAAGGAGAAACTAGAGTCTAATGTCAAGAAAACTGGCTAAAATGAAGTGGGTTCATGTGTAAAAGTCATTATTTTACTCATTTGTAAATAGACCCTTGAGTTTGGAACAGAATCCAGGTCAGTTCTGGTGAGCTAAAGGCTAAAACCAAACACAACTAACACTGATGTGGTTGGCTTTGATCTCAAGAAAAGCCCCCGTCTTCAATATTTCAGATCATGACCACACTTCTGAAAGAACTTGACACTACTGTCCATTCCACATTACAGAGAGGTTTTTATGAAATTCAATATCACGGTGAGTTGTTCACAGAACCCGAGATCAGACTGTAGCACAGAAAGAACTGGGATGAAGAAGCTGAAGGGATGTCAGAAACATGACATGAAAGCCAAAAACTACAAATGAGTACAAAGGGAACAGCAAGCATGAGGAAATATGATGGCACTAAGAGAACTAAGAACGTAAGACTGAGAGGGCTGACTACTGACTGGAGGTGAGTTACCGTAATTTACAGACTATAAGCCGCTACTTTTTTCACAGGCTTTGAACCCTGTGGCTTATACAATGCTGCAACTTCTTCTTACAATACTGCAACTAATTTATAGATTTTTTTTTTTTTTTTTTAACAGGCTAACGAGCTTCATGCTGCCAAAACATTTAGCCTCGTCATACCCGGGCACTCACATGGCTGCCCAATACATGACTCTCTTGAGGGGTGGGTCCTCGTGACTCATTGAGACTACCTGTATAAATGAAGGTTAAAAAAATAATCTGACCATTGAAATTACTGAACAGGCCACAGTGGACCAATGAAATGGGAAGGGGAGGAGAGAACGGGGAGGGGCAGGGAGGGTACTTTGTAGCCACTCTAAATAAATATAAGTTGTGCATTAATGTGGCACTCTGAGCTCAGATGGAGGCTTGGATGACTAGCGGCAAGAAATTGTTTAACAAAACTGGCCGCATGTAAAGGGCAAGTTTTGCTCAAGTCTATCAGTGAATTCTGACAGCGGAGTAGAGTTAAAAAAAAAAATCCTCTTCAGGAGGAAGATGAAGATAGCGATCAATGATGTCCTGGTAGGGTACAGTATTTTTTTTAACCAGCTATGTTACAGGCACTGTTGAGAAAAAAAATACTGTACATATTTGTGTATGTTATAAAAGTTAAAAAAAATAATTTTGTGTAAATATCTCATGTTACAACGTGGACACTTGCGGCTTATAGACAAGCGTGTGTGTATTGTGTAAATAAATACATAATTTTTTTGTTTGCATTTAGTGGGCGTGGCTTATATTTGGGTGCACTCAAAAGTCAGAATATAGAAAAAGAAATAGAAATTAAGGAAGATGAGCAGATGGACTGCAGCTGTGAGGTGGCTCAGAGGAGCTGAAGGAAATAATGACCATTGACACAAGAAGAATAAAACAGAAAACAACTAAACACATGAATATATGCAAGTACAACAAAGAAAACATAAGACAGTTACAATAAATGCAAACAATACCTCAAAGTACTAAACAAAATAGGGATGCACGATATTATCGGCATGGTATCGGTATCGGCCGATATTAGCGATAAAATTAAATATCGGACATCGGCTAATGCATTAAAATAACTTGCCGATATAAAAGGTGCTGTTTTTGACTGCAGCGGAAGCGCGATGCGATGACATCACGTGCGCCTACCTGAACTCACGGCAGGAAAATTCAAAATGTCGACGGTGTGGAAGTTTTATTTTTCATTGGTGAGGACGTCGGATTCTGAAGATTTATGGACTACATTGAGCCTCGCTACATCGTCCCCAGTCTGAGATATTTTTCCGACATAACGTTACCTGAGTGACAAGCCGTCATTTCCGACGTCATTGAGAAGCTAATAGCCGATAGCACGACTTGTTGGGTGAGTTTTACCACAGACATTTAGACATCGTGTTAGCCCCATTAGCATGATTAGTCTTACGGCACAATGGATAGATAAAAACTTTAAAAAGTCTGTCCTTCATGCACAGGAGTGCAGAGGATCCCACACTGCAGCTGAACCTGGAACAAGCCTCCACAAGTGAGACAGCATCACAGGTGACTAATGATAATAAATAACATTTAACACTTTTCATTTAATATAAGTTAAAGTGCTATGCATATAATATGGCTGTTACTGAATATATGTCACCAGCTCTTACAGCTGTTGCACAATTCTTGTAGCAAATAATCTTAAATAAGAGAGATATGTTCTGACAAAGGAACGTATATAAAATATCGGTATCGGCATTGGTTATCGGCCAAATAAGTTTTAACATATCGGCATATCGGATATCGGCCAAAAATCCAATATCGTGCATCACTAAAACAAAACAAATAAATTGTCTAACAAAACCTGAAACGTGACATTCTGCAGTTAAATAAACATAAATAGCAACAACAAAAAAGGTTGAATCATGTCATCTGGACTTCGTTTTTTTTTGTTAAAAAGAAACGTTTCGCCCCTCATCCAAGAGGCTTCGTCAGTCTGAGGCCTAGCCATCTGGTATTACCCAGAAGCCACCCAGTG